GGCAGGGGGGACATGCTGCAGCCCAGTGCCTGGGAGCTGTAGGGGTGCCGTGAGGGGCAGGGCCCCATGGACCTGCATCTGGGCTCATCTGTACCTCTTAGCGTCCAGCTGGAGCTGGGAGAGGACCTGCTGTGCTCTTTTAGAGTATGCTTAGAGTTCCACTATTTTGTTTTGTTTACATTTTTATTAGTTTCCTATTCCCATCTGATCATCATATACCCATGTTTTCCTTTAAAAGATACGGGGAAGGCATTTCTAGAACTGTCTAATATGATACTTGTGCTGTCCATCCCATTACAGTGCTGTGTGACAGGATGGCCATTGTGCTAAGGGGATACTGGCAATGTCTGAGCTTCTATCTCCCGTACTGCCTATAAGGCCAGGGCCTAATTTAGGTCCCTGAATCACGTCATTCCGTTGTGCACAGAGGAGGCCTGTCTCCTGGCTTAACACCAAGCACAAGCCTTGTATCCTAAGCGCAATAAAGTGGCAGATACTGCTTCCAAATAGAAACCCAACCCAAGCCTCGTTCCTCCCCACCACCCAGCACACCTCCAGAGAACCCAAGGGCAGTTTTGCCAGTCTCTTACTAGATCTGTCTTCTGTCTTGAAATCTGTGAAAGAAATACTGTGCAGTGAGACTGATGAAGGGAAAATGATGGTAGTTTGAAATTGGATTTCCCCTTTGAAAAGCTCCTCCGGGTGGTATTTCGAGCACTCACTGGTGGCATATCAGGGCTTAACGGCTGGCTGAGTTGTTTCTGAAGTTTAATGCATTATAATATCAATGCTTTTATAGTAAAACATCATAATAACAGTCAACCCTCTCCGCCTTCATGAGTCTTTGGCCCAACAATTCTGATGATATGGGAAACTGGTTCAGCATAGAGGCAGGCAGCTGTGCCTCTGACCCAGCTAGCACTGGGATGTGGCAGGAGCCCCACGACGCAAAGCCACCACCATCAGCTGGATGAGCCTTGTGGCAGGATAAATGGTCGTTGCCACGAACTGCTTTCATGGTGGGGGATTTCCAGCAGCAAAACACCTGACTCTTCTCCCTCTCAGCATCAAGACCATGGGACATGCTATGCTTTTTCTTATCAGTGTCTGTCTTGGTGGCAAAGGATGGCTGGGGCTCAGGGCACTCACACTGTCTCAGGGCTGCATACAGTTCCTCAGAGTCACTCACAGAATCAGGAAAAGAAGCTCTACTCAAGTGGGTAGGCTTTGGGTTTTTTTAAAAAAAGTAGGTGTTTTGCACAACCTGCCTTCTAGCCCATGTTTCTGGAAGTGCTGGCACGTAGCACCTGTCCTTGATGGGAAGTTGAGAGGGTAAAATGCACGGCTGTGTTTCAGAGAGTAGCAGGGTGCATACATACCGCACGGCAATGGGTGCTTCCACACACAGCATCCACGTGTGCGGTGAACGGCGTGTCTCCAGCTCCACTCACTGTGAAACGAGTCCCTCTTCTTTCCCTTAGCATTCCAGGCAGGGTTTGGTGTGCGCCTCTTTATAATGCAGAAGATGTGCTGCTCTGATTAAATTTTTTTACTTCTGATTATTCAGTACTGCACATAAGCAGATGTGCACATAGAGAAGTGCCCCCTGTTAATCAGGAGCTGTTAAGCCATATGGCATGTGAAGATGAAGTATTACAGCTATGGGATGAGAACCTCCTGTTCAGCAACCAGGTTCACATGCAGCAAGTACCGTGTTAATATATTCTTGCCAACACTGTCAGTTCCTTCATCTGGCGAGTCAGCCTAAGTGACAACATGGATTTCTGGAGCCTTCCTTCTGCCCTGAGGTCCTGCTTCTGTTAAGTCACTGCTGAGAGGCCATCTTTCTATTTGAAAACCTTGTAAAGTTACAGGTGAAAACATGGAGGATGCTCTGAGCTGTCTGTACTGCACTGCTCTTAGATATTGTAGATACAGCAGAGATGTAGTTGGCCCTGTTGCATTTCCAGTGGTATTTCTTAGCTTTATGCCCAATTTCTTTTAGTGACCCATCTCTGAGAAACACAATAGTAGAAAATAACATATAGTCAAGCCCTTGGTTAATTAATTTGCTTTCCACTAAATTGGCCATTGCAACTAAGAGTGTTAGTGACCCTGGATGGTTGCAAAAGAAGCAAAAAACTACTAGCAGGTGTCGCTGTTTTGGTTATTCTAAAAGATTAATGGTATTGCCAAGGTGGGTCTTTTTACCTTCTTTTACTTAGCTTTATATCCCAGTAACATGATGAGTCCAAAAGGCTTCATTTAGCAGCAACAGTGTTGTGATCAACATGCTCTGATGCTGTGACTGCCCAAGAACAGGCTGACAGGCTGCTGTGAGCCATCAGTCCATAATACTGAAAACAACCATAATAAACCACTAAATGAGAGGTTTCCAGCATCATTTGCCATTATGAGTAATTGTTCTAGTTTGCATCAACACAGTCCACAATGTATCAGCACTGAAAACGAATTTGCAAGGTCACTTTTCCTTTGCTTGTGATATTTGAAAGACTCAAGGTACCTAGAGATTTTCCTTGCCTGAGGCAGCCTGAGATCTGGGAACCTCTCTAACCAGACGTGTTGCTTATAAGTAGTTACTCAAAAACACTTTAATGTGATACTTGCCTACTGTAACTGTTGTCGAAGGATTGAAGTTGACCAGTATCTGAAATATTATTTAGCATGAAGACAGCATTAGCTCTGTAGCATGAGTTTCTTAGCACTTGTATGGTTCTATGAGCATGGAAACGGGTGTGCTTGCAGCAGATTTAAAAGTCACTACACAGAATACTGCCTTTAGCAGATGCCATATTGTGCCAAAATAGCTTCTCCTTTCTCCTAAGAAGTGCAGGCAGCCAGTCTTGTTTTATATCTTCCAAACCACAGATCTGTGCGAGTGTTTTTTCCCTAAAGTGCATTTATGTTTTTGTTTCCACAGCTATGATATATCGTTTTGGCCTTAAAACTGTGTTCTAAGCTTGAGATTCAGAGCACTTTGCATATAGTTCATGGATATCTCTGTGATGCAGTTTATCAGATGGAAAACAAAATCATGGACGAAATTTCTGATGGATTATAGTTCTTTGATCCTTTGATTTGGGACTTCAACCATGAGATAGATAACGTTTATCCTTTCTGTCAGAAAACCAAATCCAAAGGGAGCTGATCGGGAAGCGTTTGAAGCTTGTGTTGGGGCCAAGGAAATACTGATGCCTTCCAAGGCTAGCTGTAGCAAAAAGCCTATATTACTGCTGCTTTTCTGGTGTAATCCCTAGCAAAAAAATAGTGGCAGTGTATAGCTAAATGCTAATCAAGACATGGGGGAAATCCAAATTTCTTTAAAAAGGGGAGTGCAGAGCTGCTGTAGACAAGATAAAAATAGGCAACTTTAGCTGAGAGGACAGACTTTTTAGCTTTGACAATTTCTGTTTCCATTTTAAGTATTTGATGATATATTTCAGATTTCAGAATGGGTTACTGCATGCTCCTGCAAGGGAAGACAGCTCTACTCCCAGTTTTAAAACAAGCTTCACAGTTAAAAGCAACTACTTGCTGCTCTTCAGGACTTATTAGCAATATTAGTACAAAGTCATGGTGAATATCGTGGTGCTCACCTTTTATCTACTGTTAATAAAAAAGTAAAAAAGACCCGACATTAAAGTCCTTGAACAATGAACAATCATTGTTTACAGGGGGCATTAAACTCTCGAGCTGCTGCTGTGTCTGTAAACTTGGTTTTATTTAGCTCTTTGCTGAATGAACTGTACCAGAACACTTGGTGTGCGTTCGAAGGGCATCATTTTATGTAGCAGCAAACCTGGAGCTACTAAGTTACGTTGTTTAAAGCAAGACTATGCCTTGCTGTGATCCCTCAGGTCATGCTAACAAGACTTTGTGCCCTTCCTAGTAAAAGCAGAGCCTTGGCATGGTGGGTAGAGGATTTCCGTGCTTCCTTGGCCCCTGCTCTCCAGGCAGCTCCACTGCGCCAGGACTGCACCGCATTCAAAACCTCTTCATCTGTTGTACATGTTGGCTTTTCATATTCTAGCCAGCATGCAAAACTGAGAGCTGGAAATCAAGCAAGAAGCACTTTGCTCTGAACCCCCCCACTTGAATCTGGAGCACGGGCCACTTGGTGTGTTTGTATTGAACATATTTAATTACAGACTGTAAGCACATGAGGCAAGGTTCAGACTCAGAGTAACAGGACGGGAATGTAGCATCTGACTGACATCCTGGCTTGGACAAGTATCCTATGAGAAAAGTATGTCAGAATTTCTCTTGCTCAGCATCTCTGTGCTTTATAAACTACCAGAAGTGTGTGCTTTTCCAGAGATGCAGGGATTATATAATAGTCCCATGGCTTTTCTGTGGAGAGCTACAGGTGTAAGCATGTCCCTTTGAACCAGTTTAATAAATGAGTGACTTGGATGATGAATTTTTAATTCTCTAGGCTATAATAAATGACAAAAAACCCCACAAGTAGTGATTGATTATTGTGCTTAGTTACCTGCTAGCGGTGATATTATGCAGGTACTAGGGGGAGACCAGAATGAGTATTTGGGATGGAGTTGGCCTTGGGTGCTCTGCTTTTGTAGCCGTTCCTGCGGTGGTCTTGCTTGTTCTACCCTGTAGGGACAGCCTCTCTTCCTTCTCTAAAACTGTGGCCAGATCTTTGCTGTGCTGCTAGCTGGGACCCAGCCTCTCGGCAGATGCAATCTGTTTGCACCCATGCTGGTAGCTGGCGATGGCAAACTCTTTGTTCAGTTCAGTCCCCAGAGGAGATCCCCAGTGGAGCATGGACGTCTGCAAGGACTCAAACGGTTGCCTCATTTCTCATGCACCACATCACAAACGTGTGCTGGGAGAGCGGCGGGCCTTGAGCTCGGTGGAAATTTGGCCCTGCTGGTGCTAACGTGGGAATCCACCACCACTGTAGTCCTACGTGAGTCCCTCTCTGACATGCTTGGGGTAATTCTGGCTGTGCTTTCCTCTAGGAGGACTTTCGGAATAAAGTTGAAGATTACATTAAGCGCTATGCGAGATGATGAAGGGAGATGGATGGCAGGACCATGGCTTCCACACTAGAGTTGTCCTTAACTTCAACAACAACAAAACCAGCCCGGATTGTACTAGTCCTGTGTCCATGTTGTACTGAAGAAGAAAACTAACTTCATAACTTGTCCATGTTAAAAGGAGAGTTCAGCATAAATACAGCAAGAAATTGTGTATGTTGGTTGAAAAAGTTGTTTGCTTACTTTTAAAAATGTTTACTCTTCTGAACTGTACTGTATATCCTGTTGATGAGATATGCTTGAGAAGTTAAAAGAAATCACTATTGAAATTGTAATTACACTTTTTTTTAACTCTTGCTTAGTTAGGAGGGGGGAAGGAAAACAAAAAACCCAGACAGAAAAGATGGCGTGTTTTTGGAACGCTTCAAGTTGGCAATAAAATGGTCTCCTGTGAACCAAATCACAATACTGTTGCCTTTGATGAGCAGAAACAATACAAGCTTTTTTCCAAGAGTCATTCAGCTAAGGCTTGCGAGAATGCAAGTGCTAAATGAAATTCTACTTCTGGTATTGACATTCTTGATGATATTTAACGTAAGTACGTTTTTGTCACACAACATTTGGAATTTTTACATTGTTATTTTCAGCTCCTGTTTGGGCTACAGTATTTTTTTTTTCTATTCATTGTGTGAAGTAGTTGAAAGAAATACAAGCTAATCCGTAACTTAAGTAAATGTGTAGTATTAGTAAAACAATATATATATATATATTATATTTCTGTGAAAATTCAATGAAAGGGAGATTTTATTTTTTTTAAAGAAATCTGCCTTTGGCTTTCCAATCTGGATGTGGTGAGGAAGCATCAGATGCTGTTTGATCTGATGAAAGTAAATTCAAGCACTGTTACCTGGAGAACACCTAATTGTGTAACTTCAGCACTGAAAGGGAATGACTAATAACGCAGCTGAGAATAATAATGCACCGCACCTTCTTTTAAACACTCGTGTGCGCCTGGCTTTTTTGGTAATTTGAAAGGATATGATGCTGTAATTGCCTTTTCTGTAAGTAGCTTTATATCAAACACCCAGTTATCTGTAAGCAGAGATCCTTCAGAAGAGAGTAGCATGTACCTCAGGAATCACTTCAGAGAAGCGTGCTGCCTGCCGTGTGCCAGAGCTCCCCGCTGCTCGCCCGCTGACCCCGGCGCTGCCTGGGGCTGCCGAGCCGGGGCCTCGGCGTAGCCTCACAGACCGAAATGCATTTCACTTGTGGGATCACGCAGAGGAGGTGCCATGGAACTGATTCAAGCTTTTATAAATAGATGAATCATAGAAATAAATGTTCGTGTGGTTTCATACGGAGCAAGTGTATGTGTAACGCTTGGGCATTGACTGTTGGTTTTTTTTATCCCCCTCCCCGATTATGCTTTAATCTTCCCAACTGTTTCTCTGCAGACACTGAAGGAAATCAGAATTGTCTCCATCATTAGCGTGGCAGAGCTGGGTTGCAAATTTTAAGCACGGTGCATCCTTGCAAAGTTTTCCCTATGCCTTTTCTCTTACAGCTTCACAGGCTCCTGTGGATGTTACTGGAGGTGTAGGAAAGGAGGGAAATGAAACACGGGGATTGGCATGCAGGAGGAGAGCCTGATCATGAGCTTCATCTTCACTGTGTCTATTTAAAATGAATCACAGATCAGCATATTATTTTAAACCTGCAGCCACAGTGAGAGATCTTTGCTGCCAAAATGCTAATGTCAGGGAAGGTAAGGAATAAAACACAGAAACAGAAAGGTTGGAAAATACATCCAGTTTTTGCTTATTGAATCAGAGAGGTTCTTCTATTTTTGAGCTAAAACTGCTGAACCAGCTTGCTGTAACAAAGATGAGTGCTCCTTGCTGTACTGGCACCCTGGTACTGTCATCACCTTCAGCAAAAAGAGTAGTAGTCCCTGTTTCTTGGGCTGTCACCCATGCCTGGCTCCCCATGCTTGCCTGGAAGCCACTGCAGCTGCACCCAGGGCGGAGCAAATGCAGAGTGCTGCTACGGAGAGCCAGGAAAAGTAGCATTGGGGCATGCAGCAGGCTTGGGTTACCAGCAGCCTCTGTGAGCTCAGAGTCGGAGATACAGTCATCCCCATACAGTCCTGCTGCATAATCCCTTCACCATGTTTTTGCCTACCTAGAGGAGGTGAGCAGAATATTAAAGTTTGGATACTATTAAATACAGTACAAGAAGGCCTGAGCATCTGTTTCTTCCCATCCAGAATACATAGGGAAAAATAAACTGAATTATTTTTTCCTGAACATAAGGAGCTGGGGTTTTTTATATGTTTATTTATGTTTATATGTATTTTGACATATATATTTGTACAGATGTAACTTATCTAATCCTTTCAGCCACCCTCGATTTCCACGTCTCACCGAAGCACTAAGCTGGGGTGCCACAGGGGGCACGGTTCACCACACATGGCCAAAATACTCCTACAGAAATCTCATGGGGAGCTTGTCTCCATCCTGCACCCCCGTGAACCCCCTGTGATGGCAGAAGGCAAAGTCTCCTATAGGTCCCCAAAGTGTCACCTTCCCCTGCGGCCTGTCAGTGGACAGAGGCTCGTCAGCTTGTGCAGGAATTGACTTTTGTGAATTCGTGCAGCTTTTGCAATAACCTGCTGCTTTTTTCCTAATTTTTTTTAAATTTATTTTTATTCTAGGCCGGTAACCATCTTCCAGAAAGCCTCTTCAGCTCTTCCTGGCTTCAGGCATCATGGTCTTGGAGCCTTGGGCACTCCCTATCAAATAATGCCAGGTTTTTTTTTTCTTGATTGTTCGACTGCCCCTGAAAAAAAGCCCCAAATATCAGATGGCAGAGAACAAAAATGCTGTGGTGTCCTGGAACAGGAGTTGGGACCAGCCAGCCCAGGGTGGGCCTGGGGAATGGCTGGCTCATTGTTCCACTGCCTGGCATGTGCAATTTTGGAGGTTTTGGGGAAACGTGAGAGCCAGGGGGAACTGGGTCCCTCCAGGGGACCCCTTCCTGAGCCAGCAAGGCACTGAAGGGGCTCTGGAGTGGTCCTGATGCAGCGCCACCAAGGGTGCTGACCACCACCCTGCCCACCCCTGGGACCCCTAGTGCCACCCTGGAGGGTGCCCATGGTCAACACTACTGGGGGGTCTCCAGGAACAGAGAGGCTCCTTCAGGGCAGTAAGGGCGGCATCCGGGGCAGCCCCTCAATCCACTTGGGCTGCAGCCTTCATGGAGGATTCACACCAGAGACAGGCACCTGGTTTATTTATGTATTTATTTATTTAGGTAGGAAAAGCACCTTATTCCCGTTCCTTGTTAGCCCCGGGGCACTGCCAAGGCCACCAGCAGTGCCGCCACCAGTCCCCACTGCTGACCTTCACCGATTGCTCCCCATCTCCTAGGCAAAAAATCCACCCTTGGGGCCAGGGGAGAAGCTTTTCCAGGTGTGGAGGAAAAAACAAAAAAAACAACAAAAAAAAAAAAAGGACAAAAAGAGGAAGCTGTGGTGGTTTCGTTGCCCAGGGTCGCACCGAGACCCACCGGCACCTCCCGATGCTGTGCTGACACTGAAGAGCTGGCAGGATTTCAACGCTCCCACCCCCTTTTTTGTTTGGTTTTTTTTTTTTTTGGGGGGGGGGGAAGAGGACAGCCCCTGTGCTGC